CTACTATATTACGTAAGGAAGACGGCATCTCTCAAGGCAGAGATGTGGAGAGTGTCGTAACATGTGGTAATATAGGTATTTGGGTAATGTTAGCATCTCGAGGGGGAAACGTAAATTCCCGGGATATATAAATTCTTGACTGAGGAAAAATACTTATAGAGAGCAGCACATGTAGCTCACATGATACATAAAAGCGCTGCAGCAGCTATAACAAATATGCCTGTTATAGGTGCTACAGCGCTTTGTGCTGTACAATATTATTTATGTTTCGTTATACCCCTCAAGGAAGGTTCCTTGATGTTGGTGAGGGGCTCTTGATTTAGGGAATTGGATCTGTGCTCCAGTTCCCCAAATTAAGCCTGAATGCCTTCCACATCCCCCCCCCCAGGCGCTGTATAATCCTCCGGGTTTAGCGCTTCCCCCTTGATTGTAATAATAATATCTTTCGTTATTTTCATAATGTTGCTGCCACAGATCTGAGATACCCGAGTTTATTGGCTGTTCCACTGGTCATGGTAAATGCCCACGAAGAATTTTAAATGATGAATGATGATAGTGTCAGGGTAGTTAGACCTAGTTAAAGAGGCGAAAACAAAGCCTACAAAATAATGTATCGGACTGGAGGTGGCGTACCCTGTGAGGCCTCGTTTCCCAACTTTCTAATTCTTGATTTTTAATTGATAATATTTTTCGCTCACTAGTACGTTGAATGTGTTTTCCTCAAGGAAACCTAAAACTGAATAAACAGTGTAAATTAAATTTTATTTTTGCAATCAACAGAGCGAGACAACAGTTACGTCACGTCGTTTGTGGTAAACAACACGACATCGCTGCCTTGCAAAACGTATTTCAATTTATCAACGTGTGGCGTAAATGTAGTCTTATATTGAATAATTGTGAGTAAATGAATTATTCAAATTAATGGGGGGCAGGAATAAATTTTGTGATTATCTCATATGTCTTAGTCTCCGGCTTAATTAATGTAGTTTGGGATCTTTTCTTCTCAGAAGAGTTTGCTACAGACTTCTGACAACCATCCAGCTGTAGTGTTGCACTGTGACTGTCATCAGTGCTACAACAGCTGTTGTTCTGTAAGACTATTACTGTAAGCGTGCTCCATGAGTGAATGTGATTTCGCCAAATTTTCCCCTGAAATTCATGACTACTGCTGAAATTCGTGATAAATGTTACACCTATGAAGTGTGCAAATATTGTAGCTCTTAGAAATCATCCTGATTTGAATATCAGACAGGTCACCAAAAATTTTAGTATATTAAGGTCAACTGATGGTCTGATGAGAACTGGCGACACTGGTGATTTTTTTTTTTTTTTTTTTTTTATTCGCCGGTATTCTCCCGGCCCGGGTCTTTTCCAAGTAGTGGTGACCCGGCCTTGGCTCCCTATCTGGGGAGTGTCTCGAGACCTAAGTCTCCCATGGGAGGAGGTACAAGTACCCCCTCATCTTTGGGACCAACTGTCCCCAGGCCTAGCCACAGTCCCCGCCCTCACGGGGCTCGTAGGGAGAAGCTAGGCCTCTGGTCTGCCATCTGCCCCGCCCCAAAGGGGCTCGTGGGGATGGCAGTCTTCACTGGTGATTGTGGAGCCCTGCGTAGAGGAAGATGTGAAAGAAAACGTAAGATCACAATCACAGGGTTATCATTAAAAACTGTGAAGGATACCAAGAAAAGCAGCAAAGGTCTACAGAGAGATCTGGCTCAAGCTAGCATAAATGTTGATTCTTCACCTGTTCGACAAAGGATCCTTGAAGTGTTGACAGAACTGCCAGAAGGTCGGTAAACAATTATTGATTGCTGCTATGAAGAAAAAGCGGCTGCGATGGGCACTGTTCATAAGGGATGGACGACAGATGAATAGAGAAAAGTTATATTTTCAGGTGGGGCGCATTTTAAAGTACATGGGTACAGATCAGTGGTAGTGAGTCGGAGCAAAGGCAAACCTCTTCGGTTTGGACACATTCAGCAAGCGCCAAAACACCCATCTAAGATGTTTTAGGATAGTTTTACTGCTAAAGGTCCTGAATGGCTTGTTATTGTTTAGGGAACGATGAAGAGTAACAAATACAAGGCAGTTCTGGCAACTTATTTGCTTCCCATTGTGGATAGAGGCTTTCCTGTTGGAGAATGCATTTTCCAGCAGGGTCTTGCTCCATTTCATACTTCAAGAAAAATGCTTATATTCTTCGAAGTGAGTGGGCTAAGTGTTCTGAATTGGCCTGGAAACTCTCCTAACCTCAACCCAACTAAGAATCTATGGATTAGATTTTGCCACCGAAGTGGCTAGTTTATTGTGTACCCCATATTCATCCTGTGGACGGTAGCGCGAGAGCATATGGATACACAAAAGGCTTAGGAACGAGGCCCCAAAGGGTTAACAGGAATACATATGGATTTATATCTACATATCTATAGTTCACTTATCTGTTACAAGCAAATTTAGGAAATTTGCTTAGTATATCTGGTATCTTATTTTCATTAATAAGATATCTTGACATGTCACATAGGTTATTATACTGTCTGTCTCTGTATTCCTCAATAAGTGGACAATTAAGCACATAGTGTTCAAGAGAGTGATCATATGCCTGATCACATAATTTACATTTAGTTTGATCATCATCTGTGTGTCTCCCAAACTGCCAGAAGTACTTGTAACCAAGCCTAAGCCTAGCCACTACAACATCAGTCAGTCTGTTCACATTGCAAGTTGCTCCATAAACATACTTATCTACGTTCATGTTATCATAGTGGGTTATAGATCTACTCAGGCTTCTAACTGCATTCCTATAACAATCATTTTCATTATTTACTTCTCTCCTAATATTATTCCTAATGCTGGACACAGTTACACCAAAGTTATATTCTACATTCTCCTTCTGGGTACTCTTCTTGGCTAACATATCAACTTTATCATGAAGGAGTAATCCAATGTGTGATGGGATCCATAGCAATTGTACATTAATTCCTTTGTCCCTAATTTTTTAGTATCTATACCTGGCTTCTCCAATGAGCATGTTGTTGGAGTCATTATATGAGTCAAGAGCCTTCAATGATGACATAGAATCAGTAATGATGATAGAGTCAAGCTCAGTATCATAGGTTAGCTTTAGCGCCATTAGGATTGTAAACAATTCAGTTTGCAGTGTAGACGCCCAGTTGTTAATTCTTATGCCTAACTCAACAAATTTATTATCGTTCTTAACTAGGGAGGTGGCAACAAGAGCAGATGCAGCCCTGCCAGAAGACTCCTGTTTAGATCCATCAGTGTATATAACTTGTGATAACTTATTACTACCAGCAGGTGAGAAATTTCTTCTTGAGCAGTTGCTCTAACAAGAGATTTAAGGAAGGGATTACTAGCAATAAGCTTCTTGGGAGGGACTTGTAGGTATGTGATATTAAATGAACACATCTTCCATGGAGGGGTGAAATGCTCTTGTTGCCTACAGTGATACAGTTCATGCAGGTTATAAAACTTAATGCAATTGCACGTTTTCACAATCCATTTAGATCTGTGTGTATTTACCTCTAGACACTTGGTAAGATTCACTGTGACAGTGTCTGGTTCGTTTCTCAACATTCTAATACCGAGTACAGTGTTAATTTCAACAATCCTATCACTGATACTAGAAATACCAAGCTCCTTCCTCATGTTAAGAACTTTTGTAGATCTGGGACAGCCAAGAATAATCCTGAGAGCTTCATTTTGCATTAACTCCAAGGGTCGGAGAGAACTTTCTCTAGCTAATATCAACATGGGAGCAGCATAATCAATTAAGGACCTAACATAGGCTATGTACATCATTCTCACGATTCTCACATTAGCACCATAGCTGGGATTGTAGCCAGCAACAGCTTTGAGAGCATTTAGCCTAGCTTTGCATTTCTTGTTTAGTTGTGGTATAGTGGATTTGTTAAAGGGTACATCTACACCAAGATATCTGTAAGTTTTAACGTAGCTAATGATTTTACCCTGCAAATAGATGGGTGGGGGATGTCGTTTGCTTGTTAATATCTTTGTTTTAGAGGAAGATATTATGAGGCCTAGTCGATTTTCAAATTGCTTGAACTTCATTAAGAATGGTATTCATCTTCTTATGCCCTGTTGTATGGATCATGATATCATCAGCATAGCTTATAGCTATATGTTTAGGTGAGGCAGGTAGAGCATTTAGGAGAGCATTAATCAGAATATTAAATAGCATGGGACTAAGAACTCCTCCCTGCGGTGTACCTAAAGACATTTCTTTAGAATCACTTCTAAAGCCTTGGTAAAGGACAGAGGATACTCTATTTGACAGGTATCCTATTATCCAGCAGAGTAAGCTACCACCAATATTCATTTTGGCTAGTTCATGTAGTATAATTGTTCTGTTCGCAATATCAAATGCAGATTTTAGATCAAGAAAAGTGGTAAAACTAGTAGAGGTGTGTGCAGTGAGAAAGGTGGAAATACAGTTCTGCACACTTTTACCTTTCATGAACCCAGAGAGGTAGGGGGAAAGTTGGTGTCTGATTCAGTAGTACAGTCTGTTAAGCATCATTCTTTCAAAAGTATTACAAAGACAACTAGTTAAGGAGATCGGCCTAAATGTATCAGGCTGTTGGGGCTTAGGCAAGTACCAAACGCAGGATTGCGATGTAGGACTGTTCAGCTGTGGAGAAGCTGGTTGCTGCTGTTATTAGGACTTGATACCAAGACGAAGAATTTGCCAAAATGTTTTTCAATATTGATTGATCCTATGCTAAAGCGTGTAGCAATGCTTATAAAGGCAAAGAGTAGTCATATCTTTCATTAAATCAATTATGTCACATAATTTTTCACAAGACCTTCAACAATACTAACTCGCTCATTCCAACTCTCTCATTTCCAACTATATGTTTGGCTGCTGTTTCTCTAATTCTTTGTCATTCAATATAATATTTTACCTGTAAAAGTTTCAGTAACCTGGAGAGATTCACAGTAATAAGGTTTATAATTGTCAGGAGTGAACTTCGAGTTTTACCCTGACGGAACGAGGCTGGTGGTGGTGGATCCCAACCCTCACTTCAAGGCTTACTATGACAACAACAGGAAGAAGTTTCCCAACATAACCTGA